CAAGCGTTGTAAATAGTCGCACGCATTGTACTTTTTAATCCAATTTCAGTTCGTTTTATCAAGTAATTCTTACATCATCACGTGACAATGATCAGTTTGATCCAACAATAATCACATATCATAATGACAGACTTGCTACAATGCTTGTCTTGGGTGCCAATGCCCTCTGTAAATACATATATAATGGGCTAATAATTAAAACATCTTATCTATATTATCGTTGGTTATTCGTGTAGTTTTTCCTGTCGTCTCTCGCTTTGYCKGTCGTAACCAAGAAACGTGTACAATCTTTGCGCTTCGTTGTKCTTCCATCCTCGCCAGTCGTCTTTTATCATTCGACGAAGTGTTTCCTTAAAATGTTTAGGAAACRAATTTGAATTAAATTTTGTTGTTTCAAATCATGTKACTAAAATCCATACYAGAAAAACCTGGCTTCCGAGCTCCGGCACTGKAAAAAATCGCTCACTTAAAAGGTTGTAATTTGATWTAAATATTGAAATGTAGTATATTTATATACTTTATTGGCTCGTACCTTTAGTGTTGGATAGATCAATGTTATCTTCTGGTTATCGTTATTTTCACTGATAAGTACTAACAGCGTCGATACGATATTGTGTCTCTGAATTTGAAACAATCGATTACTATCGAAATCATCGACAGTTAATTATCACGATCGTTTGTTTCTTACCAAGTCTTCGTATCCAGGTTCTTTGTGATCATCAAGTAATTTACACAGTGATTCGACAACTCCTATAGTACTAAAAATAAAGTCTTAACTGAGTGACTTCTAATCACGTGGCAACGCAAAAGAATTTACAAAACATTCGTTGCTAATTATAGTTGTAAAAGTAGTGCTAATTTGTACTAAAAGTAGACCTGAAGCAATTTAATTTGTGTACCGAATGCACGATTTACTACCATATACAACTAAATAGCACTTTTTTTTGTACAGTTGCGCAGTTCAAGTGCGATCTCTCTACCTTGAGCGCAGACTCGCCTCTTTACTAGAGCAGCATATGTTCCCAATAGCTTGTACGGCGRCCTGTCGACATACAAATACAGCATTTCAAAGACAGTGAATAGGACTATTTGCTTGTGTACCTAGAGCGAGCCTTTGATAATCACGACACGAGAGGGAAATCCTAGCAGCGTTTTACTGCTAAAGTTCTTACCTTTGTCATTTCAATTGACATGGTAGGATTAGTAGCAATTCCGAGTAAATTAGACAAGTAATTCCCGGCAAACTTGGCGACCGGTGGTCCACCAGACCACGCCCAGTGTCCGATATCTTTAATAGCTGAAAAAAAGATTTAAAGTTCTGCAACATTTTAGGATTCGATGCTGTAGCGTTTTCAAGTTTTCGTGGTCTTTACCTTGAAGACGGCGTTCTGGGAATGGCGACGACGTCATGATCTTAACAGCAATAAAAATGTCTTTTTCGTACAGACTGTCACTCAGAAAGGCTGCCACATCTTCTTTCTCTGGTATTACTATGGTTTGGGTGAGAATATTAGACTGTATTTGTTTTTATGATAATAATAATAATGTTAATTTTTAAAGCGCTTATACAGCTCAGATCTAATAATAATAATAATGATAATAATACAGATAATAAATTACAAATTATAAATAAAATTTTCAAATTAAAGGCAACTTTGAAAAAATAAGTTTTAAGGCAGGATTTAAAAGAGTTAATGTCAGTAATATTTCTAATAGAGGCAGGTAGAGAGCGACCCTTTCATGGAATGAGACTACGGATCTTAATCTCCCCCTTTGTTGGTAAGTTTAGTTGACGGTTTAATTGAGATTCTTTCACCTAATGTACGATGAGTGCGTAAAGGAAATCCATACCTACCAGCGCTGCGTCTTCTAATCTCACGTACAGTATCGTGAACGTGGTCTTTGATCCAATCCATGTYATCAAACTTTTTATACTACGAGATAATTACTCATTGTGACGTCATTTATAATTGCGCGCACTGCTCGGTGATTGGCAGACATTTCCGTGGGTGACGCAAAAGGAATTGCAGATTCGCGCGCGAAAATACCTCGCGCTGGGACATATTGTCGAAAGTGCAAAACTATAGGCATTACCGAAACTAATTATTATGAAAAGTCAGAACGAGTGACTAACTGAATGAATTTTATTAAAGAAGTTCATAAAATCATACATTAATATTTTACAATTATTGGTTCTATAGAGTGGTGTTGTTAAAAAAAAGAACGCGAAAGCAATACCTGAGATATGCTGTCGATTGTAAATCAATACACTTTATTGTGCCTCTATTGGTTAATAGCGTCCGGGACTGTTGAATCACGTGACGCAGGGGCACAATAATTAATCTGAAACACTGTTTCTATGACAGCATTCATATTGACAGCAAAGAAGCCTTTTAAATGTCTGTCTGAAATCCTTATTAAATACGCTGTAGATTATTGGRTTGCAGGCTGAGTTAATCAACGCAGGGATCTCAAATCCTTCCACAACGGATGAAGATACGCAGGAATGACACGCCGCGTAGACGATSAGGAGAATGTTAAGAGGTCCCCAACACAGAATAAACACACCAACTACTACWGCSACAGCCAAGGTAATCTTTCTTTCTTTCTCTAAACGAAGTTGCTGTCGTTCACGTTCGCTTACGTTAATCTACGAGAACAAAAYGAAAACGTGGGTTTTCAAGATCTTTTTTACGCTATGCTAATCTGCGGCACTTACGTTGATATACGAGARACCATAACAAAAYCTTGCGTTTCCATAAAACKCACGTAGGTTTTTGGATACGTACCTCTGCGTTAGCAATCTTCATGGCTTGCTCTTTAGCGATACGGAATATCTTGCAGTACGCGAAGCACGTAACGGTGATTGGAATCACGCAGACTGTTACGTGCAAGAAAAAGATGTAGGTGATGTCGAGGTTAAGGTGGTACTGACAGAACCCCCCTTCGGTTCTTTTTGTCATCTGGCGCCATCCCGTGAAGGGGAGGAGTGCCACTCCTAGTGACAGCGTCCAAATAAACATGATGATGTTGCGAATACGTCGGCCRGTTACGAGTTCGTGATAACGCAAAGGCTTKGTGATTGCTGTTACGKAGAAAAGAACTAGATATAAGTACACTGCYAGMGGCGTTCAATGCGTTTTTCTTTMAGCCGTGATATGAAATGAAGGCAAGAAACATGTCAATCAAAATTACTTTCAGCCATTACTCCAGTTTCGAGATCTTATTTGTGC